AAGATGAATGAGTAAGTAGTAACAATGTTAACGTTCAATAGGTGTTAATTAAATTTACTTGTTAACTTAGGTCTAAAAAAATATGACTACATGGATAAGTAAACTTGGTGGGGAATTGGGGATTTTTTAATCCTACCTCTCTCGAAAATCTCCAACATGGTGGGAGATTGAAAAGGTTATCCTGTCTTGCCCTTTTGCTATCGAAGGGAAAGAGTGTCAAAATATGTCATTAAAAGAGTTTTCTTAGTTGATTCGATGAATTGGACAGTAAAAAATGTAGAGAAGGTTGATGAACAATTGACAAGTCTAGTATGTCGCATGCATGGATGGTGCTTTGAGGTGGCAGCTCTTGGAGTCTTCCATTCAAGATCCCGAGAAAAAATGATCAAGCTGGCCTTTGCAAATGTCGTTACGAGCGATATCAAGTTTTGGGTTGTGGACAAATATTGCAATTATTTTATGACAATAAAAATAAAAAAAGAAGAATTTGCAGACTTTTCGTAAAGGGCATGAATATAAATAGAACATGCTAGAGTTACATTAATTTTGACAGCTCTCTCACATACATTTGGTGGGGTCCATGATTAAAATAATCGTGGGCCCCATCAATGGGAGAGGACTGTCAAAATTGTTGTACAATTTTGACTGTACATTAAGCATTTTTTATATAAATATTGTAATTGACCAAAAAGAATATAAACATGGGTTTTGCTATGTGTACATTGGGGTGTACAACCCCCCTCACAATAAGAGGGTTCACGATAAAAATAAAAAAAGAAGAATTTGCAGACTTTTCGTAAAGGGCATGAATATAAATATTGTAATTGACCAAAAAGAATATAAACAAGGATTTTGCTATGTGTACATTGGGGTGTACAACCCCCTCACAATAAGAGGGTTCACAATTTTTAATTGGACTTGGGCCCCTATTGTGAGGGGGCGGTTGCAAATAACAAAGGGAAAAAAAATCATAAATCAGGCTTTAAGTTTTAAAAATGCAAAAATCGGGTATTTATTTATAAATTAAAAATATTTT